ATTCTGATACTTCTCCTTTTCTTATTTTTATCTGATGTTGCGGTAAATAAAAGAAATTGGACGAGATAGAAGGCGGGCCAGGCTGTGGAAGTGGCAATTTTTGAGGAGGTGGTAGTTCTGGAATGACGACTCAGCCACAAATACAACCAATAGGGATTACTGAGGCATCTCTGGAGGTAAAAGTGTGCGATAAAATTCGTGAGATAATATCTGGTACAAGTTTGAAAATAGATGTCTATTTTATAATTTTAGTGTGCAAAAGTGTGTATATTATGAGAGATTTGTGTTTGATTTTGATGTCTATAATCTGGTGAAATGTTGATTTGGATTCTAGCAGAATTTTGTATTCTGCTACTACAAGTGGCTTTCACGAAGCTGATTATTACTAATTTAAGTGCTTGTGTCTTGAATTGATCCTGATTTATTCAACTTAATATGATAATACACAATAAATACACTCTCAATGCAGAACTCAAAATCTTAGTTACTTTATTCTTCTTTTTAGTACTGAGTACATGTATCCTGGCTATTTTAGTATGTATATTGCATGTTGAGATCTGTATCGAAAAAGTGATGAAGTGACTGTAAATGATCTGATGCTGCATGGTACGTTTTGATGTTTACTAAGAGAATTAAATTGGGAGACAAAGATAGGAAAAATTAAGGGAAGGGTCTGAACATTAGATTATATTATGTGTTATAATCATGTTTGAGCATAAAAAAAAAGGTGCAACAGGAGGATGGGTTACTTATAGTGAAGATAAAGAACTTAATTATGGTGGGGGATAAGAGAGGAATAGGGGGAGAGTTTATTTTTCCACAGCAATGATGACACAAGGTCCTCATGATTAATGAAGTAGTCAAACCACATCAAAAGAAGAAGAAGAAGAAAAGAGAGGAAGAGGTGTTGTTATGTAATGTTCTGTATCCTCTTTCTCTTTGTAAAAATAAGTTATATTATGGTACAATTAGATGTGACTTGAGCTTGTTTAAGATTGAGGTAACGCAAAAACAACTAAGTCTAACTTCAAATACCTGAATTTAGTACTTGATGGCTAATGGTCATGGTTGGTACTAAGAGCATAGTCATGCATGTGAATAGTGTTGAGCATACCTCTCCGTTTTTGAAAGGTTGAGCATGTTGTGAATGATTTTGTGACAACTCTTACAACTCTTTTTGAGACTTTTGATTCGTTAGCGGTTAAAATGTTCAATGCTACTTGTATTTTGAAAAGGAAGTAAGATTTTGAATCATCTTGATTGATTTGCATGCCATGTGTGGTGAGTTGTTGAACAATGCCTTGTGTTCACTTTTGTCACCTAGAACTTGCCCAGTTGGTCTTGAAATGTTGGTCTTCATTGAGTTTGGTTGGTGAAATGATCTTAGGCTTTCTTTGATGTTCTTGAAGTCCACTTGGCCTAAAAATCCCACCTTTGCACTAAATATATCCTTAGTTGTCCCCTTTGAGCCTAATCCTTTTTATTGGCAACCATATTACAAGCCTTATCCTTTTTTGTAAAAATAACCTTCTTTTGAACCCTTCTCTCCTTGAACTTGAGGTATTGAAAGTTGAGGCTAAAAGCCTAAGTTGGGGTGGTTATGGGAAATTCATTAAAGGGATGCTTTACCACATGAGGGGTTGATATAAAAAAATGGAAAAAAAGAAGAAGAGAGAAATTGAGGGATGTATGGAAAGTCTTAAAGAAAGAAAAACCTTTGAAAAAGAAAGAAAGAAAATGAATAAATGAGACTTGAATCCTCCAAAAGTTGAAAATGGTTCCATGTGGGGAATCTAGAGTGTAAACAAGAAAAGAAAAATGAAAAATAGTTTGGCATGTGCATCGGTTGGAAAAGTGGAGGAAGTTGGAAATGATGAGTTGTTGTATGGAAAGTCTTAAAGAAAGAAAAACCTTTGAAAAGGAAAGAAAGAAAATGAATATATGAGACTTGAGTCCTCCAAAAGTTGAAAATGGTTGCATATGGGGAATCTAGTGTGGAAATAAGAAAAGAAAAATGAAAAATAGTGTGGAATGTGCATGGGTTTGAAAAGTGGAGAAAGTTGGAAATTATGAGTTGTTGTATAATGTTCAAGGAGGGTGTAGTCACTTATACCTAAATGATATCCTAACCTTCCCTAAGCCTATATTACAAGCTTAACAAAGTCCTTTGAGATTTCTAACCAAATGGAGTTGAGTAAATGTTGATTGAAAATATGGGCAATCCTATGGTGTGACATTTGTGTACTTGAGATGATTCTTTGTGAGTGTGAGTGTTGCATCTTTGTCCCTTGTCTTGTTTATATGTGTGACATTTGTGTGCATGAGATGATTGTTTGTGAGTGTGAGTGTTGTATCTTTGTCCCTTGTCTTGTTTATATGTGTGTGTGGTTTTGGGACACTTCTTTCTTGTGAGGGCATGCAAGTTGAAAAAGTGGTGATTTTGAAAATTCCTAATTGAGTCAAGTGAGCATGTGAAAGAGTTAATGAGTTGAGTCATTTCTTGAGTTTGAGTTGTTGTCACTTAAATGATTCTTGGTTTTTGAAAATGTTTCATGAGAATGAGAGGATTTGTCTTGCGAAAAGTTTGCATGTGGACTATTTGTTATTACCAACCAAAGCCATTACCTTTGTGCTTAATTGAGAAAGGGAAATTGATTTGTGTTGTCTTGAAATAAGAGCCTCTTGTGTTATTGTCTTTTCTTGAGGACCAACAAAGTTTCTAAATGGGGGGGG